CTTGCAGGAAGGTAACCAGCATGTTACAGGAAGGTAACCAGCATGTTACAGGAAGGTAACCAGCATCTTGCAGGAAGGTAACCAGCATGTTACAGGAAGGTAACCAGCATGTTACAGGAAGGTAACCAGTATGTTGCAGGAAGGTAACTAGCATGTTACAGGAAGGTAACCAGCATGTTACAGGAAGGTAACCAGCATGTTGCAGGAAGGTAACCAGCATGTTACAGGAAGGTAACCAGCATGTTGCAGGACAGACCTGCAAGTTATAGGGAAGTTCATTGTAGATTCTAATAAAATACCCTGTACGTCCAGCGAGAACTGGTAACCAGCAGCAATGTCCTGCAAGTTCTTAAAAAATAACATAACTTCAAGTTACCTGCAGATTGTAGAAATAGTTATCTACCTGAGCTGTGGTTCTGATGGTTCTAGGAAAATAACCTTTAAATTGTGGTAAAGTAGCCTGGTGGTTTTTGGGAGTGACCCATATGTTCTAGGAAAGCATCCTGTAAGTTGTGGGAAAGTATCTGATCAACTGCTGGAAGGTAGCCTGCATTGTCCATGAAGAGTAACCTATAAGATGATATTCTGATCTCGGAGTGTTTCCTCTAAGTTGAGGACAGTAACCTGTCAGCTCCATGCAGGTAACAGCTGTATATTCCGTTCTGTGTCCCACCTACCGTGCCTTTAAGTGAGTCAATCTCGCAGGTGTAGGCCTGGATCTGGTGTCTGAACTCCATGGTCTCCTGGCGGGCCTGTTTGAGGGCTTCGTTGTTCTTATTCACAGCCTGGTTCAGGTCCGAAACCTTCAGGGAAAAATGTCCTGCATCATCTTAATGTTTACCAGGATATTTTCTTCAAATATTACAGTCTATTATTATACTATATTGTGTCATTTTATTTCCTGTGTCAGTGAGCTGGGGTTCAGGTTATGTGTTTACTGACCTCTAGTGGTAGTACTTTATAGGTGATAGCAACCATGCAGAATATTTAAAAAAATTAGTGGGTTTTCCAGATGTCAACATTTTCTGATGTAATTTTTAATGTAAAAGGCCGAATGAGAAAAAAGATGTCTCTGTCCAACCTTGGATTTGTACCACTCTTCAGCCTCTGCGATGTTCTTGGCAGCAATGCCCTCATACTGCGCCCTGATGTCTCTCAGTGCTGCTGTGAGGTCCGGCTTGGACATGTCCATCTGGATCTGGACCTGAGTCTCCTGCATCTGATTCTGCAGCTCACGGATCTCCTGCAGAGGAACAAAGAGGGACGATAACAGCTCTGTTGTTTGAGTCATGGAGGTTTGACTGGAGTTAGTTTGTATCTTAGTTTAATTCAGATGTCACATCTTAGAAATGTTTTTTGTTCCAGTGCAGCTCTGTAATGTGAAGAAAGGTACTGAGAAAAGAGAAGCAGGAGCAGAAAACCTCTTCGTGGATCCTCTTCAGGAAGGCAATCTCCTCCTGCAGCGTCTCAATGCGTCTCTCCAGGTCCAGCCGGGCCAAAGTGGCAGCATCCACATCCTGCAGCAGTCAGAAACAGAAAGCAGCTGAGACTAACTCTTCCTCTGAGACTGTTAGAAAAAACTAAAATGACTTGATATGCTTCATATTGTCTAAAAGCTAAAGAATGGGTCTGATTTTATGCTGGAAGTTTAGATTTTAACAGCTTTGAAACAGTTTGAGAAACATTTTTTTTAGACAGTGCATGAAGAAATGCTCCTGGTTACACAACATAAACCACATAAAGTTAATGAATTTGCATAAGAAGGGACAGAAAACAGTTTAAAAATTAAATAATATTAATTTCACTGAGAAGCTATTTAGAATTCATACAAGTCAATAAATAGAAGTTCCCTGTTTTACATACATTCCCTTTTTTTACTCTAAAATATTGAAAGCAAAATAAACCATTTTCTTGAACTTTCACACAGATTTAAATGAAACTTTCTGCTGATGAGCCCACATTAAGGAATCAAACCAACAAATCGTCCTCACTTGAAAACCCTTCTAGCATTAAGAGCAAAGAGACAAACTAAAAAATATGAATGCTAAGCTTTAAGCATACAGTCCTGCAAGTTTATTCTCTAAATATGTTAATTTCACAGAAAAAGTCAGTTTAAAAGCAACGGCATGGAGCTCACCGCTCTGAAAGCAGCCAGGTTGTTCTCAGCTTCTTCTTTCTGCAAAATCTCCTCATGCAACCTGCAAAACCAGACAGACTTTTACACAAAGGCAGCACTAAGTTTGAAAAATATAAGACTTTGTTAAATAAACATTCAGCTCAAACTGTAAAAATCGCACTTAAATTAAACTAAAAGGGCAGAAAAATACATATTAGCATATAATTATATTCTAAAACAGTTTTCCATACAGTGTATGATCTACTAAGAAGTTAAAGTCGAAACTGATCATCTAAAAACGGAAGAAAGAATTAAGAGAAATTACAAAAGGTGAGAAATGTGCAATTGTTTTATTCATTAAAACTCAAAAGGCTTCTTAAAAAGCAGCTCGGCTTTAGGAATAAATGGCAATAAAAGGAAACAAATCCCTCCTAAAAATCAAAATTTTTCTTTACTATAAGCTATTTATGTTCTTCTAAACATGTATTTTATTATGACTACAGAAGCACGTTCAACATGTTATGTATCATTTTAAAACTGGCAGCAATAATGTAAACTTGAGACAGAGAAAGAAAAAGGACAGATGTGGGAGCCATATTCCTCTCCTTTTATAGAAGAGTGCAGCATAAACATGCGATGAAGACTAACCTTAGTCTGACCTAAGCACTAACACGCACTCCTCTCTAATCTTTATAGTTCTGGAGAACATCACTGATCAACAGCATCACTAAGAACATCAGAAAGCAGAGCTGCTCTGATCTGAAGATAAAGACTCAAATTATACTTTTAAATACAAGCATATTATTTTTAAAATAATACAAGCACATTATTTTTTTTTCAGTTATTATTTAACATTACTATTGCTTAATTTGTGTTTGGCATATTCTATAAATACTTCTTTGAAATGTATTTTATATGTATGCCTATTGCTGCCAACTGTTGCCGCTATTCCCGTTTATCACTGGTTTAAACCGTAGAGGTCTGAGATAAATACCCCAAACAGTGACAACTATACAACATAGAAAAAGAAATAAATGAATAAAAGAAAATCCTGAATAAATCAGAGAACAGCTCTTGAATCTTATTTTTCTATCAATGTGGGGTTATCCAATGATTACATGTTCAGTATGAGTTTTGTTATGTTCTGATTATAAACTGATATCAGAAATTACTCCAATATCAGCAAAAAAGCCCAAAGTACTTGAATATACCGTAACTCCCTGGATCTGAAATCTCTGACACAGACTGATAGAAACATTCTGCTCCATCAGTTAGTCTGTTCCAACATTTCTATCCAACAGTACTTGTATTCTGCAAGAATTCTATTCAGTTTATTTCTATAGCACCAATTCACAACACAAGTCAGACTGATTTAAAGTTTTCTATCTAAGGAAAACCAGCTGATTGCATCGACTCATTGACTCTTCAGCAATCCCTCACACTAAGCATGCTTGTAGGGACAGTGGAGAGGAAAAACTCCCTTTGAACAGGAAGAAACCTCCAGCAGAACCAGGCTCAGTGTGAGCGGCCATCTGCTGAGGCCCACTGGGGTTCAAGGAGAGTTTTAGGGCCAAGCTAG